ATGAACTCAGTTAAATGACCTTGCTATCCATGAGTTCTCATAGCTCAGTGGATAGAGCGCCTGCCTGGTGTTCGCAAGGTCATGGGTTCGATTCCTGTCGGGGACTCAGAATTTTTCTTTGTCTCACGCTCGTGTCATGTTGATTAATTCACCTTCACATTTGTGAACATGTTATCATTTTCATGACACAATAGGTATGACCTGCTAAAAAGACCCTCTACTATAGCTCTAAGGGCTTATAATTCGAAAATGGCTCAGTGAAATTTTTCTTATTATAGAATTTTGATTAGCAGGATCAGAAGCAATTTTTGGGAAAGTTTAAAAAAATTTTGTACATGGAGTTCAGAGCCACCTTAAAGTTTTGATACCAACTACCAAGATGTCTCAGAAGTCTCTTATTTTTAATTTCTAACAACAACAACAAAAATTTGTCCTACCAGACTGGCTTTTTATCAGGTCAAACCTTGCCCTTGGCCTGACAAATGACTTGCTTATGGACAAAAATTATTTGCAGGCTTCTTCTGCCCATGGTAATTCAATATTAACGTTTTCAAAGCTATCTTTGCTGTTAGTAATATTTTTCTCTCAGAGTATGAAGCCGCTCCTGCAGACCAGTTTTCCATATAAAGTACGGCTGTTTGATTGACGGAAATCTCTATTTTGCGTTTTGACCTCGAAGGTCGCGTAGCTGTGCAAACAATATTATAGAAATCAGAAACTAAAAAGTATTCTATACAAGAAGAAGAAGAATAAGAAGAAGAAAAAGAAAGAGGACAAAATGAGTCCGACTTAAGATTACGGGCAAACATGAACCGCGAACGAGGTAGTGTCCGCTGTAGCGTTCTCCGTGCAACAGCTCGACTACTCGCTAACCGCTACAAGATAGCTTAATCTTGAAACCGAACACAAAACTGAAAAGGCTTGAGTTAAAAGACCTCAATTCGTGCAGAAAATGTTTACAAATGGCTTCTCCTCCGAGAAAAACAAAAACAGCTGTTAATTTCGCTCTTTCCCGAACCGATATAAAATGGGCCAAAATATTGGCGCGCAAAACAACGGCGGCGCCGAGGAATCCTGCTTTCAAATTCGGAGTGTATGCTTTAGCTAACTCGCTCACTCACATTCCGCTAAAGGCTGCAAATTACTGAATCTTTTAACCATAGCCAAGAGGACAACGAAACTGAAAGGGCTCAATTCAGCTGTGGTTTTTCTGTTTACAGAGGGCTTCCCTGTTCCCTTGCGAGAAAAGCAAGCTCGCCTATATCCATTTCGCTGCGTCCCGAGCCGATATTTTCCAGAGAAAGTACATCAGAACTGAGAATATAACGTAAAAATGTCTTACTCTTTCACTGCTTGAATGATTCGGCATCCTCCCGCTGCTTTTCCCCCAACACTTGTGCTCCCAGTGATCCCTGACGTGTGCTGAGCTCCAACACAGCTGGTTTCGGTGGTTCTGCATGCTCGGCTCCGACCACATTCCGACGGATCTGATGTCAACCTCGATCTCAAGCAAAAGAGAGAGACTGGCACCGGGTTCTCCTCTAATCATGAAACCACGATAAGATCCGTCAGCAGTAGTCCTGGAAACCCATCTAACGTCATGTAATACAAGCACTTCCAAGATGGCGACCGAATTTTCAATAATAAAGCCTGAGGAAGCAAGAAAGTTCTCATGATTAGTTATGAAGCGAAAGGAAGAGATATGTAACAATTTGCGAGAAGAATCAAATCATTTGGGAGTTGGATTTGTCGCAGTTCACGTCGGTAAAGTACTCAGTCCAAATCACTTGAATATCTGTCTACCAGATTGCTTTGCATCATTATAAGCTAGCATCAACTGCAAACTGTGCAGCGATCACTCATTAGGTCCTCAATGTCCAGTATATTTACCTTCTGTGCTAATATTAACACGTAACATGAGTAACAGTTTTTTCATGGGTTGGCATCCGACGTAAATGGGTTTACCTACCATAAAATGACAATAATTAGGCGTAGACCAGGCCATTAAGTTATTTTCGTTCAATACGGTGGCCAGTTTTTTGCATTTGTTTACTTATTTATTTATCAGTGGTAGTTTATTTTGATTCTTTTTTTCCAGGAGTAAGCGCCCAAACAAGATATCGCAATGAATCTTATGTTTTGCTTTATTTATTTGCGTATTTATTGTTTAGAGAGCGAGGAAATCAAGTTTGAATATTGAACAAAATGCCACTATTGAAAGAAGGGTGCAAAGACCCCTGCCTTCGGCTTAGGATAATGGGTTAAATACATGGTGCCATCTACAAAGCTTAAAAAAAGTGCCATCCAGTCATCCGGGACAAGTAAATTTTTTTTTCTAGGAAAGTAACTTTTCACTCCCACTTTCCCAACAGGCAAGGGATCAGGCAAGTCATCTGCCAACTAAATCATTAAAAGAATGAACTAGGACTTGCCCAGGGCAAGTAAAATTTTAGAGCTACTTGTCCAATGGCAAGCTGGAATTCAAGTGATTTTCAAATCCTGCTTCTACCCTGCAAGCAGGCTTTCCTATTTCTATTTCATGACCGGCCATGATGTACAAGCCAGGGGAAAAAAGCAAAGAGCCTGTATGGAAGCCGCTCAGTGTTGTTAATTCCACCTCTCTCAAAATGATAACTTGTCACACTCAGGTCAAGATCCATGCATCAAATATGTACCAATAGAAAGGAGCAAAACATGAACAAACATGACAGCAAGTTGCACGTGGAGATTTTCTGCTCAAAAAAGATGACTGAAGAAAAGTGCAAAGAAAGCAAGCAATTGTTACCATGCATGTTTGCAAGTGTACTTTTAATGTTAAAGTATGGATCTGACATATCCTTTCACATTTCAACAGAAAGTTTATACAAAGTTTGATATGATGTCTGTTTGCTTAACTTACAGTACAAATAATTTTTGATGACTGACTCTGCAAAGCTCATAGACCAACTTAGAACAAAAAGATGGTACCATTTCCGGTGATAAGTTTACCCAACCCTTCAAGTTGTGGGGATGTTAGTCTATAGAGTTGAACCTAAGGACATAAAAGATTGTAAGCTTTTTAGAGATACCATCAGAGTAACATGACTTGATCATCATTGATTTAATAGCACTGAAACAGCTAGTGCTTAGTGTTAAGTTAAAAGATCATTGTGACGAAAGAATGTTGACCAAGATATTATCACCAAATGATGACATCAGACACACTTGTGCATGTACCAAAATGCTAGAGCCACTTTATATCTAATCTTTGATCTCTTTTGGTTTATTGTTCAAGGTGCTGGGTATCACTCGCATGAATTGGAGTATAAAGAGGCCTGTAGGGCTGCCTGCACTAAGGTACATGTACAATTTTGTTTTTCTGCAATATATTATGGGAATGAAAGTCTATTAATCTTCTTTCAGTTTTCTTTAGAAAGTACTGTAACATGTGATGCCCTTTTACCTTAAATAGCTATAGGCAAAGAGTATATTTGTTACTTATTGACAAGAAAGGAAGAAGATAGCATTACTGTGATGGTTGGTGAAATCAGCCAATCAGGGTTAAGTTTGACCACATGTTTTTCCACAGTATTGTAATATATATATATATATATATATATATATATATATATATATATATATATATATATATATATATATATATATATA